CGCGATGGAGTACGAAGTTGCTCGTCGATTCAATTTTCGTCGACGCGAAAAGCGAGCTCTTCGAAAATGAGAAAAGTAAGCGATACGGCTGAGTGAAAAAAAATTGTACCTACACGCTCGCGATGCGCTTGTTGAACCGGCAAACTCATATATTTTTTCGTTAAACTTGAAAAAATATACTTTTTTGTTGTAAAGTAGGTACGTAATATTTGTTTTTGAGTACACATCCGGTCGAGCTGGCAAACACAATTTTTAACGGGTTAATTATGCTTGTAAAATACCAGATGATTTTTTTTCTCAGTTTCAATTGACTAACTATTTTTCTCGTAACAAACTTAATAATACATTGTTGTGTTTAGACAATATTTTTTTTTTTATAAAAAATAAAAAATAAAAATACGTAAAGTACGAAATTGAATTATCGTTTTAACTGTCTGAGATTTCTCTAGTATCACTTGATTCCGCAAAGACATCGTTAATGATTCAAGAGACACTTTATCGAAAGTGACGTAATAAATAAGAAAGAAAATCTTAAAATATTTACTCAAATAGTCGCTGAAATAGTGCTCCGGAAGAAATATTACTGCCTGAAGAATTTACAAAAAAAAAAATGTAAAAGTTTGCTCGCTGTGACATTAAATGCTTACTGATAAGCAGGCGCTTAAAAGCGCGATATTCCCGCGTACGTGCTCCCACTGCGAGTATTTATAAAAAAAAAAAAAAGGGCGTGCGTAATTTGCAAAGAGATTAAAATTTTTGTTCGTTTAAAAAGATAAAACCGCGGAAAAATGAGTGATGGTGAGAGGAGACGAGGGTTGCTTATCAAAACAGATAAGAGAAAGGGGCTCTGGGCGCGGTGCGTGAGGAAACTGATGCCCGTGATTAATTAGCTGACTACTTCGCTTACTTGTTATACGGGTGTACGAGTTTGAAAAAGCGAGAGAGAGAAAAATAGTTTGCACGTGAAAACAAGGTGTTTTTGCTCTTCAGCAGGTTTTTTTTTCTTCCCTCTCTCTCTCTCTCTTTCACGTCGCGGCTTTAGAATTAATTACCCCAAGAGTATCAACTCGTGAATTTCAAACAGGCTTTTCAGTTTGGATATGAAACAGAGGCCGGAGCGAACGACTGACTAAACTCGCTTGGAAGATAATGAGTAAAAACCGACGTTAAGTAATTGAATTATGCCGCGTTGGAGACCGAGTCAATGTGTGAAGTGCTTTATGGTTTGTGAGGGCACTTGATTGAATTAAATCGAGTTAAAGCTTTCTTTTTTTCAAACGAAGGTATTATAATGTTTGATTTAGCAATTGAATGAAAGTGTTCACGTGTTTACAAATAATTAAAATTTCATTGCACGAGTGAAAAAATGAAAATACACAACAAATTTAAGGCAAAAGTTGTTTAGTAATGTCCAATTTATTCGAAATCGACCTGCATGAGACGTTTTTTTACAAAAGATTTAATTCAAATGCATCACTCGTTTGGATATATTTTTCCTATATTTTGCAAAAAGTAATCAAGATTTTTTATTTAAAAATCAATCAAAATTGAAGTGTATCCAATATACATTAATAAAATTAAAAAAAAAAAGCTCCTGAAGTCAAACAAAATTTTGAGTTTATAAGAAAGCTCACACCAGTCGGAAAAAAATAATATGAAATCGAAAAGCAAAGCAGATAGAGCTTCGCATCAGAAAAGAGGCAACGTCTAAGATTCACGACGTAGTTGCGATCACGTGATCTACAAGAATCTCTACATCTTCAAAAGTTCTTGGCGTTGCGATCGTATACACTCAAATAATACGCTCAGTCCTGTTGTCAAAATATGATGAGACCTATCCCGAAATAGCTGCTGATAAGACAGATTTACAGACCAGCTACAGCAAAGTGTAATTTTGTTATCATCCCACGATCTTTAACGTATCTATTTTATGGCTGTTTGGATTCAGTTTCAAACCCCCACTCATCACTCTGTTATTATTATTATTATTATTATTATTTATTATTATTGTCATCTTTTATTATTATCGTAGACACGAGTATACGTATATCAGAGTATATGCGTAATGGATGAATCTAGGAATACTTATTATTATTATTGTTCTTTAATTTTAGCAATATCATTATATTTTATTTACTTTCCCCTAGAAACAAGTTGAGAATTTATTATATACCGTTTATATTCAAGATCCCCACGCACTGGGAAGTTATTGTTTTGATCAATATTCTATTCACCGACGCGTGATGCACACGTGCTTAGTCAGAATGATATTTTTATTTCCTTGCGTGCATATGCATTTGAGGAAATTTGCGAAACAATCACGATGCGTTAAAACTTTGCGATTTTTCTCAATAGGAAATAGTTAAAGTTTTTAATCGCTCACTACTTACGAGCGCCGGATTTATTTGAAACAAGAAATTATTTCTTCACCCCAACTCCATTAAATTTTTTTTTTTTGTTTTTTTTTTTTTTTTTTTTTTCACCCACATTAATACGTGTATACGTGTACGTGTAGTGTGTGTGCACAGGCACTCGATGCCTGTTGACTATACGGTATACCTACAGAGGGGAAGTGGCTGCTTATATGCTAATGCCGTCAGCTGCGTCAAGATAAGCCGCTGCACTCGACTTTCAACACACGCGTACACTTATATACCTATCGTGNAATTGAACGGAATGTAGGTGAAAATAAATTTTTTTGTTTAAAATAAATCTGGCACTCTCGGTGAATTCAAGCATTTACCAAAACATTAAAATTTTTACCATCAAACTTGTATTGCTAAAACTGGTCAATGTGTACCGGTTTCAACGCAAACGAGTATGATATAACAGAGTGTACATTGCCGTTAAAGGAAAAGACTGTAGATCAATAAGTACACGTTGCGACGCACACGTAAAAAATAAATATATAAAATATACGCGGATGACGTTTCAACCGATGTTTGTGATCCCGAGATCAAAAATACCGATAAACAAATCGTTGGGTAATTTTCAACCGACGAAATGTATGCAAAAATTACGTAAAATCTCTAGAACAAGGTCACTTATAAGCAGGCACGAAAACTTGGTGTAAAATCGATTGAAGCTCGGACGGCGCGCTTGTTGAGATTTTCGACCCAAGAGTTCTAAAAATACCTGCATTTTCACAGCCACGATCAATTAAAGCTCGAGTTCCCGGTGCACGGAAATTCGAACCGTGCAATTTCTGTACAACTCAAAACATTCGCTCGTGTACGTATCTATTTCTGTGCGTGTGCGTGTGTTTACACGTCGCATCGCGTTACCGATCGTAATGATTATGCGATTAGGTACCTACCGATCTCTTGTTTGGGTATGTTTTGTTTTCCCGTACAGCCGTAAGGAGATGGAGGACGACTGGATCATACAAAGCTCCAAAGGCTGGCCCAATTGCGAAAACACTGTTTGGCGAATGACGTAAAAGAAAAAAAAAGAAGAGATCGGTATGGCTCACGCGATCGGCCGGCTCATTGTGCGATCGGCTCGGTTGTCGCGCTAGTACTGGCCGACGCTTTTTTCGCGTTGCCGCTGCTGTCGATTTGACATGTACGTGATGCCTGTGTGACTCCTTCTCCTCGACCTGCCAGCAGCGCTTCTCTCTCTCTTTCTCTCGCTAGACAAATCCGTATACAACTCTGTCTTACTTCACTCACTTGTGGCTATTGTAAGTATCTATACACGTGTGTTTGGGTTCTTGTTACATGTATGCACGCGAGCTGACTACCGATTACGGTAATTATAGGATAAAATATACAAGCTAGTGTTGGTCAAATCACGTATTTACAAATTATACTTTTGGAAAACGCGTTTTTGAAATTCAAGTATCGCTTTTTGTACAGATTTTTCTTAGCAGGCATTGACTACAATAACATTGGGCTACAAATCAGTAATATAAAATTGTATAGGTACAATCTTAATTTGAATTCGTATTTTCAGAATAAAGAAAATATCTTCACAACGTAGATTTATATTAGATTCATTTAAAAATGAAATTTAGCTCTTCAGTATGTGAAGTATTTAAATATTTACTATTGAAATCAGTGTTTAGTTGTACGTTGATCAAAATACGCACGTATTCACGGACAATCAATGAAATGTAAATGTCAGTGAATGAAATCGCGAGAATTTCAACAAATATTCAATGTACTTACTGCTTAATTATTCCAGAATTCGTGTGCCAATTTTGAAACTGTTTGTCGCGTGTATAACATTCTTGCGTACAGAGAATAATTATGTATTATCATACGAGTTATCTATTTTGTTGCACGTGAAGTGCAAGAATTTTTTTATAATTCAACGATTCACTAAAATAAAAAAAAACAGTATGTAAGCGATGCTCCCAATAAAATGGAAAAAAAATAGATAGCAAGATTTTTAGCGAAACAAGAAATCCTCTTTCATTTGAATGTACATTTAAACAACGACAAAACTAATAGCTTGAACGAATTTTATCTTTTTTTCCGCGCTGTCACAAAAATCCCCAAAAATATGATTAAATTGTAATAAAAGTGAGTAATGATATTATCTTGGTATACTGATAACCACGGTATATTCATGAGAACTTGTACCCCGAAAAAGCGACAATGGCCACGCAGTGGATCCATCGCATGATTGCACTATACTCGAAATCCGTCTATTATCATATCAAACAATCACCTCGAGAGCAAACAATCGCGCAACTTTATTCATCTCGCGCATACAATACATATACAACAACCACCACGGAGCTTTGCGCAACAATGGAACTCGCGGGAGCTCTCCGGGGAAAATTATACAGAGCATTAACGGGGTCATTGGCAAACTATTGTTACGATCGTTGGGTACTCGCGTAAATATGCCATGTACTCCCTTAAAATTCGTCTAAAATATACCCCACGTATGTAACCCTACCTAACCTCTCTCTACTTTAAAAAGTTTTTAACTTTCTACCACCCCGGAATTGCGCTTCGAGTGAACGTTAAACAAGTAAGGTAAGCACCTACTTGCGTTAAGGGTTGCTGTGTCGTCTGTGCTCGCAAACAATACGGTGTCTTTGATTCAGTAGTCGAGACAACTATGCTACTCCTGTGTATCACGTCGTTCTTTTCTCCAACCGTTTACCCTCAACGTTCGAAGGTACATATCGCTTTTTTCCAGTGGAAGGATTGTTTCTTATTTTTTATCAACTCTAACGAGTGACCCAAAGAAAAAAAAAAAAAACGAAAAACAACTAGAAGACAATAGAATAAGAAGCTCTATTACGCAGCACAATTTACTGAATTTGTCGTCATTGCGAGGCAGCTGAGACCCAGCTTGGCGCGCATGCGTTCGTACCCTTCACGGGTATGCTTTTTACGGCTATGTAGCCTCCATCACCTACATAGCTAAGCTTACCACTTCTGTTCTCTCTCTCTCTCTCCCTTTTTTTCTCTTCAGCTTTCCAGTTCGAGAAGTTGATACTGCCATAAACATACGGGTGTGTTTGGTCTAGCTAGTCTATACGTCTCTAGTTAATCGTGTTATATACTATACTTGGAGAGGAAAAAAAAAAAAAAAAAAAAAAAACGTAGGACGACAAATTAATAACAACAGTCGAAGCATTAGTCAACGTAATGTGTGATGATCGTTCGGTACGATGCTATAACGTTGGACACAATTTGTTGTAGATGATAATTATACCCTGGATCTTTCGAAGTTGCGTAATGGAGATCTCTTAAGGACAGTGGACGCTTACATGGGACACGCGTGTCATTACTATACGCTCGTAGTAACAGTTGTACTCCTAAATGCTGTTGGATATCGGTGAGATCGGCTATGTATATAATTGTATCCGTTAGCGAGGATGAAACTCCATCATCACGCAATGAGCTGGTGTATCGTGAGACAAATATTAAGAGTTAAACGGTTTCGAAGACTTGGTTTTATTTTTTTGTGGATTATAAATTAATGTATGTCTCGATTCAAACCGGTTGTTCCAATTGCTTTTTGCCATCGTGAAAAATGATCAGTTTCTGATTGGAACGACTCATTTTTTCCCTTATTATGCAATATTATTTTAGCCAATCGGCAGTAGCCCTCCTTTTCTGAAAAACATAAAAAAACGATTGTTTTTTTTTAGACCCGTTGAAAATCCTAGTTTCTGTTATTGATGTTTGTTTTTTTACAACTAGTTTTTTTGAAATGTATTTATACATGTCAATCTTTTTTTGTGTGGAAAGCTCTTGGATAATAATGATGATAATAACAATTACAATAACAGGCTTGTCGAAAAATTTCGAGGCAAACGTACGATAATGTTCGTGTCGTGTTTTTTTTTTTAGTCTGAAGTAATCAAATTATACCCTAACCAATTGGAAAAAGTACCAAGAAATTGAAAAAAAAAAAAAAAAAAATGTAAATCCAGTTGACAGGAGTATAATGCAAACTCGAGATCATCGAATAGACATTGATGCGCGACTGTGGGCTGTTTGCGAAACACGAGCCCAAACACACGACACCCTCGTGGAGTATAGAGGGCTGCAGTATACATATATGCAGCACGGGGTTGATAAAGGGATGAGATACGAATATAGTCAGGTGCGATCGACTTGAATGGCACGCCATATATAGGAGGACGGGGAGCTGGAGGAGGAGCTGGAAAGCTTATGTGTTCGTGCTCTCTCGTGTGCTCGCTTTGACACTGGTTTATGGGACTTGGCTCTTTGTGCGCTGCAAGCGCATTGGAATTTTGATTGATTTATTTTCCGGCTTTCATTGATGGCTCGCTCTCCGGTGGGACGAGCTTGTCTCGGTGCCCCCCCCCCCCC